CTGTTGCCCATGGGGTGTAGCTGAGCTCGTCTTCGAGCCTGCCCGGCTGGCTTTCTTCTTGGGACATGCTGGTGGCAGGCTGCCATCGTCCTGCCCCGTGGCTGTCCATCGGGCTGGGCCCCAGGAGAGGAGGGAGGAAGAACACAGGTTTGATCCTGGCACACAGCTGGAGGCTTTGCCATCGCTGCCTTGAAGGTTTTAAGTAGAAAGCTGTATTTGCTGATTTTCCTGTGATGGGGAGATTGTGGGCTTTCTCTTTCTTCAGAAAGGATGTGATAAATCTCAGATTTTCAGTTGCTTTGACAAAATATTTCACTCTCAAAAAGTTGTCTGTTGGGGTAAGACCTCGGAAGGTGCGTAAAAGCACGGGGTGCTTTTGGTGTGTACTACCGGTCAAGAACTATTCCCAGATTTCATTGACAATGTTTCCAAAGAAAATAAGCAACTCGGCTGTATCTGTTGAATTTGCTTCTTGGGTTTGTCCAGGTAAACCTCCAGGCTCGACAGAAAAGAGGGGAAGGTGCCTTATCCATATTTCTTTGTGGGTTTGCTGGACGTGATTTATTTCCTGAGCCTCGGTAGCATCTCTGCTACTGCTCTGCTTACTGAGAGCAAACAGACCAGGAGACGTTTCGAATGGTAGGTTTGGGAAGTAGGTGAGGCTAATGCTGGTACCTGAAATTCAAGCTCTTATTCCATAGGTTGCAAAGGATTGGTTGACTTCAGGAGACACTGTTCAGGGTTCACCCTTCCTTTGTTCAGACCTGTGGAAAAAAAAAAAAAGAAGATACAGATAGTAATGTTATCACTCCCTTCAAAAGAGAGGGCTTTTGGAGGGATTGTCTCAGTATTCTTGTTCTCAGGTCTTCATTTAGATAATGTGACTTCCCCTAACTCCCTGGAAGTCAATATGGTTTATACCAGAGCCTTGGCACTCTATAAATTAAATATTAGGAGCAGTGTTTGAAGTTTAAAGCCCTCCCTCCTCCTGCTAGCTCAGATTTTCTGCTGCTGTGCTTTTTTCTTTATGCCTGAGCACCTTGCTGACAAGTGCTAATAACAAAATGCCAAGAGAGGGTCCAGTCGGAGTTACCACACATTAAACATTCTGAACTTGTCCTTTTGCTCATAGATTGTGCATAATTAATAATTAAACGCTTTCAGTTGTAATGGGTTGACCTTCTTGAACTGTTCATTATTCACAAGGCAAAGGCATCACTCAAACTTTTTTTCCTCTTGCCCTTCCCCATTCTCACTGCGTGTGCACAGTTCGGCTGGTTTTGAGAGATCAGAGGCTGATCGTGGCTTCTCCTGCAGCAGATCCCAGTTACAGAAATGTTGCTTCAATGCTTAGGGAAATAGCCGGTCTTGGAAATAAGCTGCCGGGGGATGCAAGAGGCCAATGGTATGTTGACCCTTAGAGCTCTTGGTGGCTTTACTGCCATTGGAGCAGCATCCCCAATACGTAGGTCTTCGTATCGGTTAAAAGATGCGGTATTTAACAAAAATGAAAGAACCATTTCCCAGTTTAAACCTACTATATCTATTCCTCGCTCCTTTAAAATCTTGGGTTTCTACTTTTTTTTTTTTTTTTGCCTCTCTAGCGTGATTTCATTGCATGGGTGGGTAAAATAAGGCAGGCCGTTGGAGTGCAGCTGGACTGCTCCCTATGGTGACACCAAATGTGACTGCATTGCATCACACAGGCAGCGTAGACTTGGTAGAGTCTTTGCGTAGCTTTGCTTTATTTCCTCATATTCCCATCTCTTTGAGTATCAGCCAAAGTCCGGGGGACTTCAGAATACGTTATAGGATGTATTTGCTTCGTGTCGTTCTGGAAATTTTTGCTCTATACCTGAGTTAAGGGTTGGATTTGGTGATCTTAAAGGTCTTTTCCAACCTAAGCGATTCTATGATTCTGTGATACAACGACATCGTGATTGCTCAAGTTACAGAGGTTCCTCTGATTAGAAATAGCTCTTGACTACAAAATATTTTCACCTTTCTATTACTCAGGTGGTCTCACATAGAACAATATCAGAAATTGAAGTATTTCGGTCATTGCTTGCCCTGGGCAGATAGGGAATGGATGTCTTCTCTTTATAGCTAAGGTAAAAGAGCATTTGAGGCAGCTTTCCAGTATTCCCCTTCGGAAGCAGTTGAGGGGTCCGTACTTTCCTGGTTCAGCTAAAAGCAAAACCTGCCTCCTCCTCCCCTATCTTACCTGCACTGTAAAGTAACCATTTACTCGCATGTACAGGAGTGAGATTAAAGTTGTTATCCGTGCTGATCTTTTGGCCCTCAAACACACCTGCCAGCAAGTATTTCCCTGAGATCGATGCACTCTCCCAAAAGGCTTTCAATTTGTCCGGCAAATAGCCAATTAATTTTTTGGCGCCCAGACTCAAATCCTTGGGAAGATTGTATTAAAGTGTCTGGTTTTCATACTGAGATGCGGTTTGTGTTCATGTCCAGCCACCCACCCACAATCTCTTCTTCAGCTCCTGAGAGCAAACCAACCAAGGCACGGCCATGGCAGGACTAGAGCAGAAGAGAGTAGGCCTGGATGGAATTGAAATACCTGCGTTGTACAGAAAGATGTGTCAAAAAAAAAAAATAGCATTTTACATTTATTTGAATGAATATGAGGTTTTCTTGCACGCTGATGCAGGAGCACCTCATCTTCTGGCTGTGCCGTGGTTACAGGAGCGCTGTGGTCAAGGTGTTAATGCCGATGGAGCAACTTCTTCGAACCCTGATGCCACCTTAGCTTGGGATAGCCAAAGAGAAACTCTGGTGGCTTCAGAGCCGTTCATCAGCTTCTCCTCCCCTGTCCTAACAAAGTTTCACTCTATGATGGGTCCATCGTCTCTTTGCCGTTGCAGAAATTCCCACCTACCAAATTAGTGTGAAGCGCCGTATTCCTGTCCTGTTCCCCAGCACAGCCTGATCCGAGCTGGCCGCCCCGTTAGAGGGACGTTTATAAGAAGCTCCTCACTTGGCTTTTATTTAAACAGCCGGGGTGGGTTGCTGGGCAGAGCCAGTCCCCCGGGGAATGGGCTCCCGTTGCTTTGCCCTGTAGTTTTCAAAATGACCGGTGAAAATGCGCCCAGGGTGTTTCATACCCGGTCTGCCTCGAGTCGGTCCCAAACCCAACATTTGCCACTTCAGGTGGAAGCCCAGGGAGGCTCTGCTGGGGGAGAGAAAATGATGGGGAGAGGCAAAACCTGCCGGGTTCCGTGCTGGATAAGCAAGCCTGATGTTTGGCTCTGCATTTGCTGTATTGATATGAATAATTTTCCTGCGCAGGTCTTTGAAGTGGAGCACGTTTAATTGCACTGCTTATTTCCTTATGTTCCTTCCACTCTCTAGTGGAAAGCTGCCTATATTGCTGTCATTTATAAGTTTAGAAACAATAACCTCTCGCTTGCCTGGTCTAAGTTCAAAGAGAATTTGGGCATGTTGTATCAAACACTCCTTGTGTTTAATAGAAGTCTTTGAAAATTGTAAAGCAATTTTGGCTCCTCCATTTACTCTTCAGTTACTTTTGATTTAATTGTATTTTCCAGCAGTTTCCAATTGTTTGAATTGGAAACAAAGCCTTAATAAGAGTTCTAGTTAATTTTCTGTCTTGTAATTACCGATCTCATTTTTCTGATAATTGGCCACAGCAATTATATGTATATTTACTAATCACATAGGAGGCTCTGCCGTTGTGTCTATCTGCCACCATTGATAATGGCACACACATTGCAGAGGTGCTTTTATCATCTTCTTTTTTCCACTACATCAAAGCTATTTCCTCGCGTTCTCAATAATGAATACATGCATGCATTTGACACAGTTGTGTGCTAGAGAAATTGTTTGGCTCCCACCAAATGCTGCACGCTCTGAGTTTCTTGCCTGCAGCGCTGGAAGGTTGTATGTAATGATATATTGCTCATCCAAATGGCCAAAGCACTCCAAAGCACAGTGAGATTAAAATAAGTCATTCCTTTGTTAATTTAAATAGGTGCATGTATCATACTTTGCAGGGTACTTTGTGTAGGGATGTCAGGGAGGAAAAAAGCCGCCGAAAGGTATTTTTAATAGCAAATGAGAATAGATGAGAATGGAGTCATTTGCAGCTGCCTGTTTTATGTGGCTCTCTTGTTCCAACTGTAGGTCTAATGAGATGACACTGTTAAAGTACTCTGCAGTGTAATTTCATTACATCCTGAGCTGTTACACTATAAACACAGTGGAGCTCTCTGTCATTCTTGGAAAAACTCCTAAATTCGCAAAGCCCGTCTTTGCAAATGGTGATGTTGTTTGTTCCCTGTTTGTAATTTTTTTTTTTTGTTTGTTTGTTTCTGCTCTTAATTTTGGTTTGGGGTTGGTTTGGGTTTTTTTTTTTTTTTCCCCTTTCATAAATACTGGGTGGTTATTTTCACCGGGCTGGTAAATCCTGCATTTTTTTCTTCTTAAAAATTCTTGCGCCTTTTAAATCTGGAACAGACAGCACATGAGGACAGCCTCTAAAATGAATAAGTGTAAATAAACATGAGTGTAAATAAATAGCAAATGCAGTGAAAGAAACAAAGGTCAACACAAGAATAATTTCACAGCTCTTTGTTAATTACAAGACCATTTGTGTGTTACTTAAATAATCATTAATTTCTAATTTAAACTTTCCGTACTTTTTTTCCTTTTTACCCTGTGGCTATCATTGTCCTTTTTTCACCTCCCCTCAGTGTCTTTCCACATGTTTTTACCCATTGTGTAATACTCATTAGTTGAAATTCAGTGTTTTATAACACGTTCTCAGAAGAATTTGTACCTTTCTCCCTCAAATTCTCTGTGTGAAAAGGGGGCTTTGTCACTTCCTTGGGGTTTTTTTCCCCCCTTTTTTTTTTTTTTTCTGTTGTCGCTGTTATATTACTCTCCTTCTAAAAAAAAAAAAAAGAAAAAAATTATCTTCTCTCCTCCTGACTCTGCTTCTTGTTTCAATCCAATCCCAGGAATCACCCGTCCTTCCAGCCGGGGAGTTCTCTGAGCCATTTGTACACTTCATCACTCAATGGTAAGCTCAGTTTGCAAACATGCCATGCCCTCAATGTAAATGATACATGCCATTAACTCGGCAGCTCGGCGAGACCTTATGGCTTTCCTTGCATCCTTTCTGCGAGAAGAGGGACTTGGGGGCCTTGGGCAGATGGGGCAGCAAAGCTAAGCAAACTGTTTAAATTATGTAAACGTTATTTACACAAAGGGTCGTAAAAGTACGTACAAGGGTTTTTCCTGTTTTAATAAACCTGCCCTGAATGTGGGTGCAGTCTCGTGCGCCGGGGCTCCGAAGAATTCATCTGGGGGTAAAGAGGCTGCAAAGACTCGCGTGTATCATATCATTATTCAGGGCTTTTTAAAATATTACTTCTCAAATTGCCGCAATATTTGGAAAGGCAAGCAGCCTTGATTAATTCACTTGGTTTTCAGTAAGTAATTTTTACTGAGAGTCGTGTTTTAAAACACACCACTGGGTATATTTTCTTTCCTTAAAACTGAATAGTTCATTGAAAACCTTTTAAATCAAAGGAGAATTGGGGAGAGGAGGAATCTGTAGAATAAAGAATACAGAGTAACTAGAGAATAAAAATATTGAGGGTAAGCTATCCTAAAGAAACCAAGTGAAAAGCAAATCTTATTTTTAACTGCCTCATCCGCCCCGCCTCCCCAAAAAAAGGGGCAGTCTTTTAGGTATGGCAGGAGAAACAAGCCTGGATTTTGCACAAATAGGAGGTGTTTGACGGAGGAGCATCCCTTCTGCGACCAGGCGCTTCCAGGGCTGGATGCTCAGCCGTGCTAAATCAGACGGAGCCATCTCGGCGTGTGCCACCGAGAGGGAATCCTGCGTCAAGGGATGCGTCCTCGGCAAAAACAAGGCGCTCGGAGCCCTCGGCCCCACACGGATCTATAGGTCGGGCTTCGCAGCGCTTTCAGGGGCTCTGCCACATGCCAGGGCCACGGCAGCAAAAGTCGCCTGAATTGAATTTTGAATACGTAACCTAAGAGAAAGCGCCTCTCGGGACTGACGTAGTGAGTAACAAATAATACAGACCCGAAAAGCGGGCTGATTATTGGTTAATTAAAGTGACTAAATAATTAAAGTTTGTGTAACGGAGGCCCCCGCTTTCAATAGTTTCAGTTTACAACGAGCAGGGCTGTTGGGAGGGTTCCGCAGCGCAGCGATGGCCGCGGAGGTCTACGCTTTTTAGCCCTGCGAAAAAAATGATGACAGACTGTCTTAAAAAAAAAAAAAAAAAAAAAAAAATCCTCATTGAGGCGGAGGGAGGGATAACCTGTGTTAAAATTTCCACAGATGTCAAACTGAAGCATAACTGATGGTGGCTAATAGCCTTGTTTTCCCGGGGGAAAACAGCTACTTTGGACTGTCAGATTAGAACTGCTACCAAGCTACTCGTCAGACAGCTCGCGTTGCTTGCGAACGCCTGCGTTATTTGGGGGGCTTGTAGTTATTTGTAGGGGAGGGAAATTGTATAAATACCTCCGATTTACAGCCCGGGTCACCTGGTGGTTTAGAGAGAGTGTTAAAGTGGCTGGGCCTTTTAGCGGGAGGCGTTTCTGTTTTAAAAAAAGCAAGTGAGAAGCAGCTATATCCTATTTAAGCAATCAATTCCTAATAAGTATTAGAGACGTGGCGTGAGCGGCGTATCGGACTTCATGACTTTATGCCAATTACGCCCCGAACGCTGGCTGTTTGGATGTAATCCAATTAGTCAGTAGGCAGCTCCTGATGGTCACCTCTGCGCCACGTTATTGTGTTCCTTCATGCAGCTCAGCGCAGCCTTCAATAGCTAATTGCACCTGTTGCAGGGCAAACCAGGACTATTTGGATGAGAAACATGATCTTATAAACAGGTTAATGCTGCGTAATGAACTATCACCCTGCAGTGTAATGGAAATAAATGTGAAAAAATGAAGGTAGAAACCCCGGGGTATTGTGCGTTCTCCTGAAGCCGTTTAGTGCGAGAGTTAAATTTCCCACCTGTTTGGGTAATACTTTGTGCCGAGCTCTGTAATAATCCCTGGCAAAACAGGAATCGGCTTTACTGTGCCTTCGGAGCTGGCTGGTTTTCCATGATCTCTGTATTTACACACTTCCATGGTTACACACGGTGTAGACCACCCATAAGGGAGGGAGGGAGGGAAAGAAACCCATTAACGTTTTGGCCACTGTTTGGAACCCTGTCTTCCATCGGCACGTGATAAAGTTAAGAAACGCGTTGAAATTCTTCACGTTGTGTTAAAAGAGGCTATCTTCAATATTTAAGCAAGCGGAGTAAGAGAGCAGTTGTTTATATATGAACGTTTTGTTTTATTTTTATGACACACAGCATGAAAAAGCAACCAAAGGAAAGGCCAGCACCTGAAGATTTAATGGTAAGTGAAAGTTCAGAGCCCCTCCGTATTGATTTGGCTGTGAATACTTTTTATTCGTGTATGTAGAAGTATATATATTTTTTTTTTTTTTCTGCATTTTTCAGGATGTGCAAATTCAAACCTAAACTCTTTCCAGCTTGGGCAGCAATTTATTTGCAGAGAGCACCCAAACCAAAGGTGGAATTACGATTCCACTGCAGTTAATGGGTATTTTACTGATACCTTCATCGTGGCCAAAGCTCCACGTGTGATTTGGGGAGGGAACGCAGAACTTTCACAGCCAGTATCAAGTTTCAGTCAAAACCATTTTGATGCTTAATACACTTTTTTTTTTTTTTTCCCTCCCCAGTTTGTATGTCCAGGGATTACAGCTTAATGTAGGTCACTCTTTGTCATCATTTGCCAGTCTTAACCTTTCAAAATCTGAAGATTGAAAAGGGAGGATATGGTCAAAATAGTGTATTTTTAATGAAATGCGGGAGCTACTGTTTTCACTTACAGTCATGTAAAATGAAGTTAAATTGGCTGCAGAAGATTGAGGTAATATGTGCAGCTTGGGTTTGTCCGTAGAAGGGCTCTCAGTGTTGGAGTCTGAGCTCAGAGGCCACTTCTTTTGCTTGCGACTGTCATTTTTCCAGTAAGGCAATCCCAGGGTCCCCACTCCCAAGCTGGTCCCTTGCGGCCGTGCATTTAGTGCTGTTTTGCCTGGGTTTAGGCAGCTAGAAAAATACTGTATCAAACAATTATTGCAAGTATCTACGGTAACTTACATCGTAGGTGAAAGTTGTAGTCCCCTCTGACTCGCATCAAATATCTTTGATTTTGAAAGGTTTCACTACTTTTATTTATATGCTATGTTTCCCATAACTTGGAGGTTTATGTAGAATCGTCGCCATTTGTTTTCTGTGCATTAAGTATCTAGGAGTAATTTTAGCAGATTTTAACACGATAAGGACACGTTTGCATCATTTCATTTCTCACTTACACGCGGCGAACTGCAAGTCAAATAACCAAGCGTCTCCGTTGCAGCTATTCTCTAGTTAAAGGCTAATCTCTGAAGATGCCCTGGAGCAGATATCTCACAATCCAGACTAGTCTCAATTTAGATCCTGGTTAGTCAAGTATTTAACTGTGAATCTAATTTTAAGGATATTAACTTCAACAGATCTGCATTGGAAGTTAGGCACCTGCTTAAGTACCTTGGTAAAATGAGGCCTTAAAGTTTATCCGAGCCCCTCCGCTTTGTGGTGGCGTGTGTCTGGTAGGGAAGGCTTGCGCTGCCTTATTTTGTCTTTTTTATTAACTTTCGATGGTTGGAAAATTCTTGCAGTTAGTCACATCTGAGAAAACTTGGAACAGGTTCTAGAGATGTAGACACATTTACCTTGTGCACTATTATGCTATGGCTGGATAGCTTAGCTATTAAAACAACGGAATAGGGTTTCATAAAACCTGTATCTGTTTGTAAATGCATGTTTCAGTGATGCAATAGGCCTGCCACTTATAAATAAAACATCCGCAGATCGCACATACCCCCATAAGTATATATGTATGTTTGTAAGCAATAACACCACTCCAGGGTGTAGAGTCATAAAAATGAGGCCAAAGGGTGAGTGCCTGCAGTACCAGGGAAGTGCACAGATTTATCTTTACAACTACATGCCCTGGAGTGTGCTAGTCCCCTTTTTAAGGAGGTATTTTGTACACTAATTTTAAAATTATAGCAGCTCGGGAAGACGAGGAGGGGGGGGAAAGCCTTCCTACTTTTTAAACAAAATCTTTTGTTTAATGCCTTTCCCCCCTCATGCTACTTTCTATTCAATTATAAATGAACTCGCAACGGCAAGCACTAAAGCATGGAGTAGACTGCTGCTGAAATAAAGTGACCCAGTCCTTGCCTGCAGCGTGGCTGACCCTCATAAGCTGCCCTAAATTCCCTCCTCCAGCCGGATGGGCTCCGAGCACCCCGTGCTTTTCCGTAACAGACTCGCTATCAGCTCAGGAGTTGCTCACCAGCCCAGCCCTTTACGTTCTGGCACGTACCCCATATTGTCAAGGAGCACTTTGTTTATAAAACTCGTATGCACCTATACATTAGCATGTATATGCGCACACATCTCTCTATACGCACGGGCATATCGGTATGTACATACCCATATGTGCATATAAATTGCCATACTTTGTTGGAAAACAGGGCCAGAAGAAAAGCTGTTAAATGTCCTCTGAATTCTAGAATTGCTGACCGCGATATCCTTTCTAATTCCACGTCGTCCTGAAGTTTCTGAAGCCTCTGTTGTAATTCTGATGGGTATCTCCGTGTTCACTGTCGGAGCGGGTGATGCAGGTACGATCAGTGAAGTCCTGGACTTGTCAAGGTCAGCTTACCGTTGATTTAAAGGAGAGCAGGATTTCACCTCGTTCATTGGGTTGGGTTGGTTTTTTTATTATTTAGAAGAAATGTACTGGCAAGGATGAAAGGTGTAACACGTAATAGTCGTTAGCTTCAGACGAAACGGTGGAGTGCAGGCTTTCTCCCCTATGGACGTGAACCGTACTGGAAGTCACTATTTTGTAACCAATTTGGTATAATTAAAGACTGAAAGCAAAATGAAGGGAGCAGAACATCAATCTTTTTCTACTCTCTTGATAATCGGTGAATTGTTAAATGCATTTTAAGAGCCGACTAACAATACCTGGAGTGCCAGATTGGCAACTCCCGTGAAGTCACGGGGTTACATCAGGGATGGATTTGCCCTGTCTATCACCTTAGGAAGCCCTTTTTTGTAGAAGTCACTATGCGCGTTTTGTCAGAAAATAGGGCCAAAGCCAAGGCTGTATGAAATTCCTGGATAAAGCCAAGCTTTCTCGTACCATAGATATTCTTGTGCAAGCGAACACCAAATTTCCGTAACAGCTGCCAGAAATCAGGTTCCTGTGCTTACGCTCGGTCGCTGTGTCCCTTCTTCCCTATACCCATCCACAAAACAAGGCGTAACACCGGTTTCTCCGTGTATACATAATCAACGATTTAATTGTTTCAAAGTATTTCAATGACGGACTTGTTCCACGGGAGCGAAAAAAAATTAACTTCACCCAGCAATGGGAAAATTGTCCATCTGGGGGAAAAGAGCAATCTTTATAACTCACCGGTGGTTATTCTGAACCTTGTGCTTACAGTGGCTGCTCTTTTGCCTCCAGTTTGTTCCCTCTTAAGCGGAGAAGGGCATACAGTCAATTAAATTGAGCGTACTCCCGTTCTGGCGCCAGGGAAGAGGGCACCACATCTTAGTGTGTTCCTCTGCCTCTCATCTCTCCCCTTCAACCAAGAAAAGGAAAAACTCGACAAGTCTTCCGTATAAAGATTTTTGGGTTTTTTCTTCCCTCCCCCTTCCCCCCCCCCGCCATGAGCTTCCTGTTTTCATTTAAAACGTGGAGTTCTCCGGCCTGGCGAGCCCGGCTCCCAGGCAGACGCAGACATACGTCTCTGTTTAGCGAGCGTGACGTGGCGGTAGGGGTAAGGTTTAACCTCCCACTTGTGCCGCCTGTACGGGTAGGCATCCGTGGTTCTGGTTTGGCTCAGGAAGCCGTAGATCTGACTGTATTTACGGTATTTTTCAGAAGCTTTCCATTCTAAGCTCTATTTAATGGAATCTATGCATAGTAAGTAATCAGGTCAGAGAGAAGCAACATCCCCTGTTTGAGATCAATCGCTGGCTAATACTTTATCTAGGCCACTTTATTATCTCATGCTGATTCCATTCCCATTCTCCTCCTCCTTTGTAGCATGCACTTCAGCTGTGGTAAAAGTACGTATCGCATACATATTAAAAACATATACCCATTCTATCTGTATGTAAATGTGTGAGACACAGCTGGATATTGCAGGAGTTTGATTTACTAATAGTTATTATCTGTTCTAGCTGTTCAGAGGCAAAGAGAGTTTCAGAAAACAAGCTAGCGCAGAAATTGCCTTTATGATATCACTATCCTGCTTTGGTAATTGTTTAAAATCTCTTCTTTAGCTGGAAGCTTGGCCTCTTATTTTGCAGATTGTAGGCGCTTTTCAGAAAGCCAGCAGAATCGCTGGAGCCGCTTGTTGAGTTTTTTTTTGTTAGTACAGCATTGAACTCTCCCGTGCTACATATGGCTATTTAAAGGAAAGCAATTTACTTAAAGAAATTGTATTTGAAATACCAAAAGCCAAGCATGTAGCAGTTTTTCCTTTATGCTTTCCCATGGATGCATAAAAGTACAGTCTCTAGGCTGCTGCTTGAATTTCTCAGGGAAAGTATTGGGCAGGGAGAGGTAATGCTTCTGGCCAAGGATATACTCAACTTCTGCGCTTGATTACTTTTGCACAGATCTTCTAATTTTTGTTCGAGTCTCCACATCTTAAACACAACTCCTAGCTTTTCTCCTTGTTTTAAATGGGAAATTACTGATGCTTTGTATGTGGGTGTTTTGTTAATTTAGAAGATTGTATGGTAAATTGTCCATCATCTGTGTCAAAATCACTGACCAGCTCAAAACCATGTTCTCCTTCCTTATTTTTTTAATTTAACGCCTAATACAATTTTGAAATTTCCCATGCCTGTGCATTCAGCAATCCCTCTCTCCATTTCAGGAATGGCATTTAGACCAGGCACCCTGATCTCATTAGCTACAATGGGCATTTTTTCAGATGGATTGTTTGTTTGTCTATTGAAATGTGTTAAGATACATGTCAAGATATTACAGACTCTCAAATTCTGGCTGGCTGTTCCCCCATCTCCAACAAGCATAGGAAATGAAAAATGCAAAGCTTCAAAGTGGTTATATTTAAGCAGTTATATTCTAGAGGGTCTGGACAGCAGCGCTTCTTACCAGGTAGAGCTAAACTTGTTTGCAGCTCGTTGTGTTAAACCGTTGTTTGCAGCTCTTAGGAAATGCTTTTATGGTTTAAACAAACAAATGGAGGATCACCATAATCCTACCTGGGTTTTCATATAAACCTCCGGAATAAAGCCAGTAAAATACTGCCACTAACGTTTGTCAATAAGAGGGATTTCCCCCAGCAGCCGATGTGGCTTTTGCAGTATGGCAATGGCATCACGGACTGAGCAGCTGAGGTGGCTGTACCAGTTGGGTTTTTTGATGGTGTTAACTTTTGAGAAAGACCAGAGGGCTGTCTGCACTTTGCTTTTCATAAACACATCCCGTAAATCTTTTGAAGACAGCTTTACAGATAAATGTTTTCTGTCTGCATCTATCTGGATGGTTATGCATCATTGCTGGATCACGGTGAGCCAGGAATTTTCCCTCTTTGGCTGCTTACAAGCATTGAGGGGTTTTTTTTTTCCCTGAGCCAGTGCAGGATCTCCGATCAGCAATGATTTGTCCAGCATAAAATGGTCCGTGATGGACAGCTTTGTTTGCAAGCATTTAGACTCTCCTCTGTCGCAGTGATCCCAGTTATTCACCCCATGACAAGCAGAAATTCTGACAGACACCAAAACACATGCCAGATGTGAAGGAAAGGGCTCTCTGCTGACTTCCTAAGGAAAAAAAGTACAGAGCCAAGTATTTTGGCTGTTGTAAATATGATAAATATTAAACTGCGTCTGCAATCTATCACTTCAGACACACAGTGGACAAGGAATTCTGGATCAAATCCTGGACACATTAGAGGCAATGTCGAAATCTATATTGGCTTCATTGACGCTAGGGTTTCTCACTAGGGCTCTGGATGTGCTTACTGGGTGTTCATCCTCTTCCTTACTCAACGTAGCTCAAGAGTTGAAGAAAAAATAAATGTATTCTTTCAGGTGGCTGTGTTGCTCCGCTGAAACGGGGAAAGGTAGGTTATGGATCCTTCCCCCTCTTCGCTTTCCAAAAGAAAAAAAAAACAAAGCCATCTCTGTCCTTGTTCTTCTTTGTCACTTGAGAAATCAGCTATCGAAATGGAGAAATCGTGATATCAGTGTCGCTAAATCCAGCAATTACAGAAGGCTAAGACTGTGACACGGTTAACTCGTGAGCGTTAGAGTTCTAAGGTGTTACATTCGCTCACTGTCTTCTGCAGTCCCGCTGCTCATGCAACCCCTGACTTTTTACAGCAGATGCAGACATCTGACTTTCTAACGTGCCCTAAAGCCACACAGTGTACTAGCACTTCCCCGTGAAATGTGGAAAGAAAGAACTTGACTTGGCTCGAAGAAGTATTGGAAACCTAAGGAAATTGGACAAAAACAAATTGGCAATGGCTTAGAGTGATACAGTTAATATTTTTGGTTACTTGAGTCTCCTGGGCTTTGCAGTTTAATTTGAGCAAATGTTTCATTTGGCACTTCTGGTTGTTCTGTAGTTCTCCAGACGCAGAGACAAATATTTAGATCTTGCTCATTTTGGTAGCAGAGCTGCAAATCTTTCAGTTATGATACATTGAGAAGTTGTGCATTTGTCTTGTTGATATTTTATGTCAGCTGTCTTCCCCACGTATTTATTTAAAAAAAAAAAAAAGCAACAAATCTGTTAACAGTTCCAAAATAAGAGCCATATCTTTAATTCCCAGAATACCATCCTTCCTGTTCATTCCAAATTCATCAAGGAATTTGCTCTAACAGGCAACTGGTGAAATCCATGTACAATATTTATTCGTATAATAAACCTGGACTTTTAAATTGATGCAGACGTACTCCATGGATTAAAATTGCTGGCACTTGTGCAGTACCAGCTACTTGTGGGTCTGTATTCTGATGAGCACCTCAAGATGCTCCTGCAGCATTAAATAAGAGTAATAATTGCCTATGAATAAGCAGAGTATAAAGCAGGAGATAGAGATATGGCTTCTTAGTGACCTGTGTGCGTTATGCCTCAAATCCCTTAATCAGATTTGTGCTGGTTGATTCTTGCGTCCGCAGAAATTCAGCTGGAGGATCAGGGCCTAAAGTAGTAAAAAAAAAAAAAAAATCAATTAATGCTACTTTTTAATTTGTGCGGTTGACAAAAACGCATATAAATAGGGGACATTTTTCTACTGAAGAGGGCCGCACTGAAACATTTTTAATTGGATTTTCATTGTGATTGACAGCATTTGATTATGACAGTAACTTTATTTGGCTGGACTGTTAGAGCCCTCTTGTTCGGGGTTTGGTCGGGGAGGGAGGGGGTTGTTGGGTTGGGTTTTTTTTTTTTCCCTTTGCCCATCAAAGCTCTTTTTTATCCGCAGAATCCCCAGCGGAGCAGCAGTGCCTGTGAAAGAGCCTTTTAGCACCTTTGTTGCAGCCATCCCTGGTGATGATTGGGCCCAGCTGGTAGCAGATAGGAAAATGTGCCTTTCACAAAGAGGTTGCATCTCCCGTCTCCGCCGTTTCAATAATTTTAAGAGCCCCAGAAACCTGTTGAGGATTAGAAGTAGCTTTAGATGTGAAATGAGTGTTAAGTATTAGTAATCGGGAGATTAGGGCCCCGGGGACAATGGGAGATAAACAACTGCAATTAAGGCAAATCTGCCAGAGTAAACAAAATTTAGCAGAAACAGATGCCCTAACCATTTTGGGGGATTGATTGGAGGGCACCGAGGAATCGATTTTTGTCTTGTTTACACTTCCAAACCCCTGTGATAAACTGGGAGGCTAAATATTTCATACAGCCTGATTTTAGTTAATTTTTTTCCAGCTCCTCACAGTAGGCCTGCTCTCTTCTAACAGTGACCAGGCCCGAGTTTATTCAGCATTCACAGGGAGCAGCTAATTGTCTATGAAGGGCCCCTGTGTTTAAATGGGCTTGACAGGAATTTAAATTTTGTTTCAATCAACCTCTG